AAGTGTGCCTGCAGACATACTCAGTCTCTTTTTTTTTTTTTTTTTTTTTAATGGAGTGCCACAAAGTTTCTACATATAAAGAACAAATTCTCCTCCGAAAGAAGTAAAAAGGAGAGGAGAAAAAACAGACCTTTCTACAGGACCCATAAAAGATGACAGTCAGGCACTGGAGTTTAAAGAGGAGAAAAAAGAAATCTTTTCAATGCTAAATTCAACAGAATAACCACTGTAGAATAAATTAAATGTGATATAGTCATAAAAGTAGAAAATCTGGTTCCAGATGTGATGTTTTCATCTTTTCTAGGGAAATTATGCCCTGCCTAAAACTGATACAATATGATGGTACAGAACAACACAGGAATCAAGGTGAAAAAAGATAAGTTTGCTTTTATGTACTCTCTACAGCTTCTGCAGATTTGCCTCTGAATTCCAGGTCAGCACACTTAACAAGYGTGTATAAAGCCATAAAATCTGAAGAAAAAAAAAATGCCAGGAAAACACTGCTATGTATTTTTTCTTGTCTCAGCCTGATGATGAAAGTGTCTGCTTAACTGCAATTGGTTACAGCTTATGCAGTTCCAGGGTAGCAGACGCTTCCCAGGGCACTCTCTATCCTCCTCCTTTGGTAATAGTGGGACAGCAAGAGCCTGACGGAGCCCTACTTTTCCTTGTCATTGGAATAACTTATCACAATGCACAAGACGGAAGAGACAAGTTCAGCTATAGCCTGAGCTGAGTTAGCAGCCTCCCGTTCAGCAGGATACAGTTTGTACGTCACGCACAACCGGAGAGGGGCTACTGAAACGTGGAATTCCACAAATAGTTTAGCATGATTCTGCTTCAAATAGCAAAGAGATGTGTTGTGTAAAGGTCTTAAAATACTACGCTCCTGCAGTCTGCCTGCAGTGTAGCTCAAAGCACGAATTAAGGGACTGAAATTAGATGAAGTATTCACCACCAAAACACTGGAGTCCATTCTAGACCACTCACAAGAAATCCCAGTTGCTTCAAGTAAGTTGCATTTCTAAATAATGAAAATATAAAGCCCTTTCAGGCTCACTGCAGAACCATCTGGATGCAGCTCAGTTCTAAGGAGAATACATTAACAGATCCTTGAATAGATCTTTCTTCAAAGTTTTATGTTCTGCTAATGCCTTCTCTTTAAACATTTAAGTGCTTGAAACAACAGACTGCTTGCTCTTAATCGGAAGTCGTATTCTTGCAACTACAGTACAATCTGACCCTTTCAGACCAGCTTTAGGCACTATGCATAAAGCACCATTTCTGCAGATACACTGGCATAAGAGGAAAACTATTTTTTGTCTATTACTGACTGGCTTTCAAGTATCAAAATCATTTCCCCTGTTAAACTGCATCCTATCCATTTCTGAGATGAAGTCTAACATAACCAAAAATTAAACGTTATTTTTCTTCCACCTTTCTATACCCAATCCAATAACTCTAAGTTCACTGATCTGCCTCGGAGCATCCCTCAGCATGAGGCTCTCTAGCAGCCAGGCTGTTCAATCAGCAGCTCTCCAAAGCCACCCTGTTAACTGGCAGCACAGAGGGCAAAGCTCACCTTTCCATCCAAGTGTGCGTTTAATCAAGCAGTCCTTAAATTGTGAATCACAGTGGTGATAGGTCACATGTTTCTAGCTGCTCTAGAGGAAGTTAGGCTCTTCATTACAAGACAGCCTGAATGCCAGTAAAAGCAGATGGAGATCAGGTCTAAACAACCTTGCTGCACTTAAGACTGCTGCCATACAGGATCAGGAGATATCAACAAAGCCATGAGAAAAAGAAAATGTTTAGATGAGTAGGACAGCAGAGATGCGCAGAGAAACAAAGCCACAGATGAGGTTCCAAAGACACGCATACGGACAGGAAGAGACACGTGTGACCAAAAAAAAAAAAAAAAAAAAGAGACATTTCCATCAACTAAATGAGTATTTCACAGATTCAGATTTTGTACAACAATTCAGAGTGGGAAAAGTTTACACATAAGAACTCTACCAGATATAAATATTTTTCTTGAGTGATGTTCCATTGCTGAGTTTAAGGACTTGTTCAAAACTTTAGGATGCTGACAGACAGCAAAACTTCCTCACTCCTCACCCTAGAAAGGTTAATTATTGCTTATTTATAAGCTTATGTATGAGAGGCTGCAAAGTCCAGTTTGAGGAAGTTTCAGAACAATGTATGAGAATAACATAAGCTTATCAGAACAAACACCAATCTGAAATGACTGACATAACTACTTTAAACCTTCTGATCTTTTGGAAAAAGAGAGAAACACAGGATCACAGGATTCCACAGAAAATGCCCAACACCTTCTCTTCAGTTGTGCTAACACATTTTCAGCACAGTCGCTTGATTGGTGAAAGATAATGGGAGACTAATCCCTTTCTTGCAAGCCATATCTAGAAACTCTTCACATCAGTTAAACTAGATTCCTTCAAGATGGAGCCAGTGGACCAGATCGTTGTGATATCTCAAAATTTCCCAGAAAAAGAACTATTTTGGATACCTTTATCCCATTAGAAAAAGAAACAAAGTTACATGATGATGATTTTACACTAAAAAAAACTCCAAGCAGACTTTGAAACTCATGGCAAACTGTGCTTCATGCAATCAGAACACCTGAGTTGTATTCAGATAGACCATCAATATTTCATTTTTCCTTCTAATCTTGGATTCTATATAAAATGCCACCATTTGTGGTATAATATTCAGCTTTAGAGCACTAATAGAGTTACCAAGTATCTTGGATTTTATTGAATAGGCCAAATTTCACAGATGGGTAAGTTACAACCCTATAATTACAATAAATAGAACCTTCCTCCCCCCAAAAAAAGTGAGAAAAACGTCTTTAGAAAATCAACTGCAGAGGCAAGAAAGTGTAAGGAATAAAATATGGTTCTGTTAGGGACACGTGACAGGTTAAATACAACACAGTCACTATGCAAACAACTGATTCTGTAACCACTCATAATGGCAACAGGTAACATTACCCCTGGGTCTTCCACTATTGATGGGGTACTGCGAGTCACAGTCCGAGATCATCAAAACAACTCTGTGACCTTCCATTGTTTTCTTTGTTTGAATTTGGTTTTTTTTAAGGGAATCTGATTCTTCATTAGACGAAAGGTCTTAAAATAGTCAAAAGAGCTTCTGTAATACCCCAGTGACAAACTGGCAAAGTTTTCCTTTTGCACTGGCTATGGGAATTATGTAATAAGTTATTTCTGTACTTCTGATCATTATACAAAAAAAAAAAATTAAGTGGGATAGAAAAAAATACAGGACTAGACTATAACTGGAAACCTCAAACCTGTAATGCATTCTCTGGCAAATTCCATTTCCAACTGTTACATTCAGTGAAATGCTTCTCTCAATACAGGCTACAAAACAAGGAGTTTGAGACTACAGGCACTTTCCCAGAGCGCTAGTTTTAATAAAGCTACTTGATCTTCTTCCATCACACAAGAACCTGTTTATTCCTTCTCCAATTAATCACCCCACACATTTATTTTAACCCGGAGCATAAGCAGGGACACTTTTATAAATCACTCACACAATCCTGGCTGAGTAGTTCAAATAGGTTAAAAACAGAAGAAGCAACTCCTTCACTTCAGACTAACAGCCTCTTCCAGAATATATGTATTTTTAAGCTATATTATGTCTCTTCTTACAGAGCTAGCAGAATAATTCTGCAAAAAAATTCAGCATCTTCATATTATAATAAATTTCAGGATTTTTGTGTTAGTCTTCATTAAAAAAACTCACCAAGGGAAAACAGATCTTAATTCTATGCAGCTGTACATATGTAACGGTTAAAAAAAAGTGTTTTAAACCTACAAACATTTCTTCTTAAGAGGTCTGGGTTAAACTAAAAACAATAACTGTGGAATTAACTGTGTCATTATATAAATTTTATTGGTTTAACAGTGGAAAACACCACTTCAAATAATTTCAAGGTCTTTTGTGATGACAGGCAGCTAAGAATAGGACAGCAATACTAAGACGACAGGAAAATAAGGAACTGATCAACTTGAATTTTGAAATAAATTTTTCAAATAGGAGAATGCCATATATATATATATATATATAAACAAAAGGGGTTCAGCAAAACTTCTGACATCTTATCAGGAATATATCAATTCATATATCAATTCTACACTTCCTGGAACAGATGATGGTATTTGACTATAAGCAACTTCGCCCTTCTGTTCTGAAACCCTCCTGAGTTGTTATCTGTACCTACCTCACCTATACAGAAATCTATCATAAAGGCTTCTATGTTGCCAAAACTAGAGAAAAAAATAAAATAAAAACTTGGATATACAGTCACAACTATCCCACGAGTGAAGGGAAAGCTGGAAACACTGACCAGGTCACCCTCCTCTGCCAAACAAAAAGATTATCAACACCGAAATGAGCTTGGTCTTTAGCTCCTTCAGGTTCAATAAGGATCTCGGACCAAACTTAGGCTGGGTTCAGAGGAATGAGCAGTAAAGCGTCATATTCCAACTTTCATTAAAAAATGATTTTTTCCTAAAAATATCAGTTATATAAGGGGTTTTGTTTTTCCCTTTTTAAAGAAAGGAAGGCAAACAGCACCTGCGGAGCCTCCGTGGGTCTCCCTGCCAGCCCGGGGGGCGGCGGGGCCGTCGTGGGCCACGGAGGCTGCCAGGCCGGGCCCGCGGGCCTCACCTGGCGCCTGCCCGGGCCGGGCCCCGCGCGAGGCCGCCGGGCCGCGCTCCCCTGCGCGCTGCGGGGGCCGGGGAGGCTCCCACGGGCTGCGGCTCGGAACAAAGCGGGGAAGGGGGCAGCGCGGCTGGGGAGCCCCGTGGCGGCGCCTCCGCAGGGGGGAGGCCTCTCCGCCGGGCCGGACCGGGCCGGGCCGGGCCCCGCCGCGGCCTCGGCGCCGCTTCCGGAGCCGCTTCAGGGCCCGGCGCCTCCATTTTGGGCCGTCGGCGGCGCGCGGCTCGGCTCACCTGCATGCCGGGCACTTGCACCGCCACCGGCGAGTGGGCCATGGCGCGCTGCGGCGGCCGGGCGCCGCCCGCTGCTCCCCTCGCGCGGCCTCGCGGCTCCTCCTCGCCTCGGCGGTGACAAACAGCGGCGGGGCCTGGAAGGACAAAGCGGCGGGGAGGCGGCTTCAGCGCGGGCCGCGCTGCCTCCTTCCCTCCCCGCGCGGCCC